AGAGTGAGACTCTGTCTCAAAAAAAAAAAAAAAAAAGGAATTTTACTTTTTTGATGAATATTGTCATTGTCCTCCAAAATAGTCATTCCAATTGAGACTTTCCCCCATACCTTCATCAACTTTGGGTATTATGAAACTTAATATAAGAAATTATTTTTTTAAAGTTTGCATGTTATTCTGTTATGTAGACACATTAAAGTTTATATATCCATTTTCCTATTATAGGATATTTAGTAGAAATTGTACTTGTAGTGCCATAGTCCCCAGTCTCCAGGCCACAGCCCAGTACTGGTCCATGGCCTGGTACCAGTCCATGGCCTGTTAGGAACTAGGCTGCGTATCACCATTTGAGCTCCACCTCTGTCCTCTCTCCCCATCTGTGGAACAGTTGTCTTGCATAAAACTGGTCCCTGGTGCCAAAAAGGTAGGGGAACACTGCTGTAGTTTTCATACTTACACCTGAATCTTGCATTGTTTGGTTAGGTGAATTTTAGCTATAGTGTCCTGAAAGGAACCAACTTGAGCATCTTTGTTTCTCTTCTCTCTCTGAAGGCATCCTTTACCAAAAAGCCATTTGACCATGGAGAAATAGAATCAATGGAAGATGATACTAGTGGAAATCTAATGGAGGTGGAGGATCAGTCATCCATGAATCTATTTAATGATTACCCAGCTAGCAGTGTTAGTGATGCAAATGAACCTGGAGAGAGCCAAAGTACTATAGGTAAATACATATTCATTGCTTGAGATTTCTTTTACCTCTCTATATTGATTTGGCATTATAAAAGGCCTCATTTAAGATCATTTCCTTCCTGTACACTTTAAAATTTCTGATGTTTAATTGAATTTATTAGTTTCCTATTTTATTCTTCATGGGAGTAATTTAAAATAATTGTTAAAGAAATAAAACCATATGATAGGTTATTGGAAAATAGCAGGAGAGTGAAAAAGCAACCATAATGCCATCACTTTCAACTTAATTCTATTCTTTCTTTATAGACCCTTTGAAAATTGTAATCAACATCAACATTTGTATATGTTATATAGCTTGTCTAACATTAATTATTAGCATTTTTTCCCCTATAACTGCTTGTCTTGATAATCATACTTTTTAATAACTTCAAAATATTCCAGTCATGAATACCATAGTTTATTTGACCGTTTTTATTGTCAGAAATTTAGATTCTTTTCTATTTCCCTGTCATAAACATTACTGCAGTGATTGTCTATATAGTTTTTTTTCATATTTTTTATCTCTTTATAATAGAATACTTGAATAACCTTTCATGAAGAATTTTGAAGATTCTAGTGTGTAATTAATTTTGCTATAATTTTGTTTTCCATATACTTTTTTTTGTAAAGGGGATTTTTTTTTTTTTGTAAAGGGGAGTGTATTTGAGTTAATATTCAATATATACAGCTATTGTGCCCCTCTCTTGGTATTAATGAGTGCTTTTTATTTTTAGGTGCCATGAATCCTTTAGCTGAAGAATATCTCTCTAAGCAAGATGTACTCTTTTTAGATATGCTCAAGTTCTTGTGTTTGTGTGTAACTACTGCTCAGACCAATACTGTGTCATTTAGGGCAGCCGATATTCGGAGGAAATTGTTAATGTTAATTGATTCTAGCACACTAGACCCTACTAAATCCCTCCACCTACGTATGGTGAGTTAAGTGAAATGAAGAAGCTCTTCGATTCTGTCTAATGTTGCTGACTAAATGTAATTGGTTGACATGTAAAAATCACATAGTACCTTTGAAGACTTGAAATTCCTTCCTTGAATAATGAATCTGGGACTAGTTGTAAAATATACTTTCTTTTAATGTGCTGTGAGAAAAACCTTAATCATTCTGTTTCTCTCCACACACACACATACCATTTTTTTCTGAACTATTTTGAGACTAAATTGCATATGTAATGCCCCTTATACTTCAGTGTATATTTCCTAAAAATTGGGATACGCTTCTGTATAGCCACAGTATAATCATCAAAATCAGGAAACTGACATTGTATAATTGCATTTAATTGTAAAGTCTGTTCAGTCCCCTTCAATCTGGAGCAGTTCTTTGCTTATCTATTGTGACCTTCATATTTTTGAATAGTACAGGTCAATTGCTGTATAGAGTTCCTCACTTTGGGTTTTTCTGATGTTTCTTCATGATTAGATTTAGACTTTGATGAACATATTACAGAAGTAATCCCTTTTCTGCCCTTACCCTATCTATCTATCTACTGGTAGATATCTTCAATTCCAAGCCGGTATCACAGGGTTTATTTGTTTTTTCTCTCTTCAAATTTGTAGCTTTCTTTTCTGGCAATAAAGAACCTGGGTTCCCACTGAACCTCAATTCATTTACTTATTTACTCAGTAACCTTATATGTAACTAATCTCCTGACCATGTGGGCCATCTCCTTAGCCCCAGTCCTGGTGAAATGGGGTAGAGCCCCTGACCCAGCAAGTAGCTGGATGGGTCTGAGGTTACACCCCCAGTTCCAGCAAATTGGCAAACATACCTTTTGAGTCCCTAATTAGAACCTCTGATCACAGCAGATTGCAGGTTGAGTCTGTGGTGGAATCCCTGGTCATATTCCCAGCCTTGGTGAACATGCATGTTAATTTCCTAGAAACAGCGAAGTAGTTTGATTGTGCCCTGTTTGAGCCTCTGGTTTCGGCCCTGACAAGCACTCAAGTCAGGTCTGTAGCCCCGACCAAGGGGAAGCGTTATATGCTTTTCTTGAAGCTTTGATGTTTAAAGTCACTTCAGAACATTCAGTAACCTCATACACACGACTCTCATGTCAAATAACGAAAAGGATCATTTAATTTTCTTTGTTAATATCAGAAAAGGTATAAGAAATGTATTTTTCTACATAAATGATAGGAAAAAAATCTCCTGTGATTTCTTCCCATAGTAGAAAAATTATTTGGCAATTCTCTGAAACAGGCTACCTGTTTATAACTGCCCATTATAACTGGTAGTTGCTGAACAGCCCCCCACTTTTTTAAATTTCAAAATATTAGGGAGTATAAGTGTTCTTGTTACATGGATGAATTGTATAATGCTGAAGTCAGGGCTTTTAGTGTGTCTGTCACCAGAATAGCGTACATTGTATCCGTTAGGTAAGTTTTTATACCTCACCCCGTTGCCACCCCCCCTTTAGTTTACACCACTTTATGACCATGTGTACCCATCATTTAGCTCCTACTTATTAGTGAGAATGTGTGGTGCTTGTTTTCCCATTCCTGATATATTTCACTTAGGATAATGTTCTCCAGTTCCATCCAAGTTTCTGCAAATGACATCATTTCATTGTTTTATGGCTGAGTAGTACTCTATGCTATACATATATACACACACACACACACACACACACACACACACACACACACACACAGAACACATTTTCTTTATCCACTCATAGATTGATGGACACTTAGGTTGATTCCATATCTTTGCCTTTTTTTTTTTTTTAATTTTAAAGTTTTGAGACAGAGTCTTGCTCTGTTGCCACGGCTGGAGTATAGTGGCATGATCATAGCTCACTGTAACCTCAATCTTCCCTCCTCAGACTCCCAAGTAGCTGGGACTATAGGCATGTGCCACCATGTTAGGCTAATTGTTCTGTTTTTTTAAATATGTAGAAATGAGGTATTGCTATGTTGCCCAAGCTAGTCTCAAACTTCTGGCTTCACGTGATCCTCCTGCCTTGGCCTCCCAAAGCACAGGGATTATAGGCGTGAGCCACTGTGCCTGGGCCCTCAAACAACCCTTCCTATCCATAGTATTGTGGGGAGCCTTATAAAGATGCCTTATGGAAAGATATGTTAGGGTGTTTGACTTCTTCACTGCACATGATTTATCTTTGTTTTATAAATTTCATTAATTCATTAGTTTTTAACCATTGGACTCTTCTATGCAAGCATTATTTGGGGCATGTGGGGACATATTATAGTTTCAGAATCTTGCTCTTAACCACATAAGTGATAATAATGATCATTTATTGAATGCCACAATAGCAACTAGACCTTCAGATTTATTTTCTCTAATTCTCATAGTTATCTGGCTAAGTGAGTGTTATATCCCCATTTTACAGGTGAGGGTATAAAAGCCCCAGATGATATAAGGCAAGTTTTTAACCACATGATTTTAGATTGTGGTACTGGGATTTGAATTCATCTCTGTTTGACTTCACAGCCTTTTGTTGCTATATACTGTCTTCAAAATTTACAGCTGTGTATATGAATTTGTGATTATATATATATATATGCTTTTAAAAGTAAACGATCTATGACAACTGATTTTTTTTCCTCCTACCATCTTAGTATCTAGTGCTTTTAAAGGAACTTCCTGGAGAAGAATATCCCTTGCCAATGGAAGATGTTGTTGAACTTCTGAAACCACTATCGTAAGAAATTAAAACCATATGTTATTTTCACTTTCAATTTATAAAGTAGGCCGGGTGCGGTGGCTCACGTCTGTAATCCTAGCACTCTGGGAGGCCGAGACGGGAGGATTGCTTGAGCTCAGGAGTTTGAGACCAGCCTGAGCAAGAGTGAAACCCCGTCTATACTAAAAATAGAGAAATGAGCCGGGCGTTGTGGTGCATGCCTGTAGTCCCAGCTACTGGGGAGGCTGAGGCAAGAGGATCGCTTGAGCCCAGGAGTTTGAGATTGCAGTGACCTACAATGATGTCACTGCACTCTATCCAGGGCGACAGAGTGAGATTCTGTTTAAAAAAAAATTTATAAAATAACTGATTTGCTCCATTAAGCTTATAAAGTTAAACTTCTTCCACCACAGCAACGTGTGCTCCTTGTATCGTCGTGACCAAGATGTTTGTAAAATAATTTTAAACCATGCCCTCCATATAGTGGCAAACCTAGGTCAAGGCAGTTTGGACTCTGAGAACACGAGAGATGCTCAAGGACAGTTTCTTACAGTGATTGGAGCATTTTGGCAAGTACTATCTATTTTGTGGAGTTCTTATTTTTCTTTTGCTATGTCTAGATGCAAATGAAAACTTTACACTTCTACATTAGTGATTTCTTCTGATCCTCCTATGTAAGTGTATACATCTTTTCCTTAATTGCTTGAAGAACTACATTGCTCTTTGCTTATAGCATGGCTTTCTAAACTATTTAGTATATTTCCCTGCAAATTTTGAATCACTTAATGGCTTTAGATGTATGATGAATAAAGAAAGTACAACAAGCCTAAATAAAGTGAATTTTTCATGTTCCCAGAGTGAACATATTGGCCTTTTCATTTTCTGGTTATTTCATGCATATTGCTACAGTCTGAGATGGCACCATAATACTTGTTGAGGAGCACATATCTAAATCAATATAGAATGTAGTTTTGGAATCTTTGATGTAACAACCAAAACTTTAAAAAAAGTTCCTTTTTAAAGCTAATTTACTATAAAATGGTTAGGTGAAGTATGATAACCCCTCAAAAGAGGCATAATCATGTGAAAAACAAATAATGTACCTTAAAATGAACTCCTTTCAAACTAATTTCTTTTAGCTTGAATTTTTGGGGAGGCGAATGTATTGCCATATTCCACATAAAGAGAATTAAATTTATCACAGAAAGAAATTTTGGAAGCAACCTATAATAACCTTAATATCCAGTGATTTTTCTGACTGGGGCTTTTATTGGAATGATTATTTGACATTGATAAACTTACTTCATTTCAGGCATCTAACAAAGGAAAGGAAATGCACATTCTCTGTAAGAATGGCGCTAGTAAAATGCCTTAAAACTTTGCTTGAGGTGAGTTATTTCATATTATTGTTAAGGTCTCCATTGAAATTTTTAAAGCATCCTTTGTTTCAACAAACATTAATAAGTGATTTTTCTCTTAATGTTTCATACTTAACCTTCATTGTTCTTTTCCCATAGGCCGATCCTCATTCAAAATGGGCTATTCTTAATGTAATGGGAAAAGACTTTCCCGTAAATGAAGTATTTCCACAATTTCTTGCTGATAATCATCACCAGGTTCGCATGTTGGCTGCAGAGTCAATCAATAGGTAATGGGTCAAGTATTCGTGAAGTGTTTGGAATGTTGCAGATAGCAAAGCAATGTCTAGCACAGTCATAGCTCACTAGTTGTGATATTAAAAATAGCTAACACTTACTGAGCATATATCGTGCATGGCATTTATGTTTTTCTTAATTTTGACACTCCTATCACTTAGATACTGTTATTTTCTCCAATTTATAAATGAAAACTCTGTGGCTTAGAGAGATAAAGTAACTTATGCCACATAACTAATAAGTGGTTGACTTAAATGAGGCGTGTCTACTGGCACAGGAGGTGATATCTCCCGTTTATAGAATGTTTGGATATTACTGTGATTTTATGTGAGTTTATAATGATAATTAGAACATTTTACATTGTGCTAATTACAATTATATTTACTTGAGTGAACATACAGTGAGGCACTGGAATGATTCTATCATGACAATCTTTTATATTTGGGTACCTGAATAAACAAATACTAATTTCTTAAGGACTGCATGTTTACCAGGTTATCAAATTGATTTTGAAACTCTAAATTGCAACGTCTAAATTCCCCCACCTCACAATGCCTATAAATAAAGCACTTCCCTGTTTTATTTTTCTCTAGCATTTATTTCAACTTGAAGTAGTATATTTTAACACATTTACTTCTCCCTATTTCACTAGTATATAAGCTCCTGAAGGACATTGGTTTTTGTTTGTTCATTGCTGTATCTTTAGCACCTACAACAATTGCCGTGTAGTAGGTGTTCAATAACTATTTGTAAAATAAATGAATGTATGTGAAAAAGGAAATTACATGACACTTTAGAAACATCAAAGGTAAAAATCATTTGAGTAACTTTACGTTTCAAATGTAATTACCAATAATAGATCACAATATTATTCCAGCAATCACACAAAGTGTTAGAACTCATATATTCAAAATTTGAATATACTGACAGTAATGTTTCCATAAACCAGGAACAGTGTCTACTCCTTCAGGTTTTGGAACTCATTTCAGTAAGACCAAAGTGCACTGTAAGGATTGGTAGTACATATGTATAGTAGTTCAAGTCCTTATTAAATTTCACAGATAAAAGATACCACTCATGATGGAAGGCGAAGGGGAGTCAGCATTTGCAGAGATCATGTGATGAGAGAGGAAGCAAGAGAGAAAGGGGGGGCGAGGAAGGGAAGGTGCCAGGTTCTTTTTTAACAATCAGCTAATAGGGATCTAACAGAGTGAGAACTCCCCCTTCCCTTATCCCTCCATAAGATTAGGGCATTAATCTAATCATGAGGGATCCACCCCCATGACCCAAACAATTTCCATTAGGCCCCACCTCCAACATTGGGGATCAAATTTCAACATGAGATTTGAAGAGGTCAAATGTCCAAATTATAGGAGATACCTAATTTTGGGCTATTTTAAGAGAGGTTAGAGAAACTGGAGGAATCAGAGGAACCCCCCAAATTATGAAAGCTTTGGTTATTAAAAAAGCATAAAGGACAAAATTTATTAAAGAGTAATCATTAGGCTGGGCACGGTAGCTCACGCCTGTAAACCCAACACTTTGGGAGGCCAAGGCGTGAGGATCGCTTGCAACCAGGAGTTCAAGATCAGCCTGGGCAACATAGTAAGACCCAATCCCCCTGAAAATTTAAAAAAATTAGCTGAGCATGGTGTCACATGCCTCTAGTCCCAGCTACTCAGGAGGTTGAGGTGGGAGGATCACCTGAGCACAGGAGTTTAAGGCTGCAGTGAGCTATGGTTGTGCCACGGGACTCCAGCATGTCTCAAGGGAAAAAAAAGGATTATCCTTGACTATATGGATATTATGCAAAAGGCACTGACAAATTTTCTCCATTACCTAAAACAAAATTTAAATGGAACATCAAGACATTAAGCTGCCTACTTTCAGGATGAATAAATACTAGAACAGGTTGACATAGGAGTTTGCGGACTCTTCTTGGTATTTGGCCAGAGAACAACTTATCTTTTCTGGCTAGTTTGAGTTCAGTGCTATTCAAATTTGGGCAATAGTTAAACGATCTTTTGACACCCTCTTCAATTCCAGGAGAAAATGGCTTCTGTGTTAAAGACCCTAATGCTAAGCTGTTGGTCTGAACCTCTTTATATAGATTTTATTAGTCTTGCAAAAAGAGCTAGTATGTTAGTATATCTCATGGAGCAATTTATTTTTGTTATAGAATACACTTTGGAAAGTAGGGTTTGAAATTTAAAAATTGTTTTACTTTTTGCTTTTGTTTTTTTTTTTTTTAAAGATTATTCCAGTATACGAAACTAGGTGATTCTTCCAGGTTATGGAAAGCACTTCCTTTGAAGCTTCAGCAACCAGCTTTTGAAAATGCATGCTTGAAAGCTCAGGAAGGAATGAGAGAAGTGGTAATTTGAGTAATGCATATTTGCTGTTATCATATGCTTGCTATTAAGATGCTATATATTACTTTGCCAAATTTGGCATAAGACAGCTTGTATCCAATAGTTTATAATATAAAGCTAGTCTAAAACAACTCGATGAATTGAATGAAATTGCGTTATTTATACATCAGAATAGGTCAAATCATCATAATTTCTTTTGGTTCAACTTAATATATAGCATTTTTGGGGGGACAATTAAATTTTAACTGAGTTTTTATGGGTGTTTAAATGGCTTCTTTTTTTATTTTAAAAATTGTGTAAGATCTGATTAAAAGCTAAGTAAGGGAACAAGTGACAATAGGAAGAAATAGATTGAAAAAGACATTCTAATACAAGGTCATATTATCATGATATTTTTTAGTGAAACATGATTTTCATATTTCTTCCTAGAATATTTTTTCTTAAAATGGTAAAACTTATCTTAGTGTTCAAGTTTATTCATTTATTTATGCCCTAATTTGTCTCTAAAAAGTATTTGAAGTGGTTAATAAGATGACTATCAAATCTATAATAGCAGGAAACTGAAAAGGACAGTTGTTTGAAAGAATATGAATTTAGAAAAGGATTTCAATAGATTGGAAGGATGAGTGTAAATATAAAATTTAATAGAGGTAATATATGTTATACCTTTCAAATCAGCCTGTCATCTGTCAAAAGGGAAAATACTGACTTGACAGCAACTCATCTAGAAAAAGACCTGAGAGGTTTTTACATCTTGAGACCACACAGTATGAATCAGCATTGTGATAAAGTTATCAAAAAAGCAAATTCTATCTTATATATATTTCGGTATAGAAACATATAGAAACAAACCAACATAGCTGGTTTGTCATGAACAAAAGTGATAAAATAACATGGATCTTCTATACTTTTTAAAGGACAGCTAGAATGTTTGGTTTGGTTCTGAGTAAAAGATTTTTAACCAGAATGTTAGACAGTATATAGGTCCGTGTCTTATAAGGAATAGGTGAAGGAATTGACTTACTGGAAAGCTCATAACTGTTTTCAAATACACCAATGATTGTCATTTACTAAAGGAATTAAGTCCTTACTTTTTTTTATACCAAAAGATAGAACTAGGATCAATGATTCGCAGGTTTTGCAAATGTGAAGAGAAACTTCTATCAAATATAGCTAGTTAAAAGATATAGATATCTGTTGGGATGTTACAATTGATATTTAAACTAGATGCATGTATCATTCTATCTAATCATATGATTTTATTGTTCCTTTTGATAATATATGATAACATTTTTTAAAGTATAAAGAGCTATATGTTAAAGTATCTTAATGATAAAAAATATCTGTGATGTTATCCTTGGTAGTTGAAGAGGAGCTTTTAATCTCTTGCACTCTCTTTTTGCGATTTCTTTCTTTTTTCTATAAGGTACTTTATACCTCACTGCAGTGGTTTCCCTTTGGCAATTCTTTCTGTAGGATCTTATGTAGAGCAGTTTTCCAACTCTAAAAAACTTATATTTTCTCAAAATTGCTACTCTTAGCTCCATATCTGTAGGTTTTAGAACTGTTTACAGGCTGCTTAGATGTTGTCATGAAGTTTATTGATTTTAGCCTGATTGGTTAACTTGTAATGTTTAAGTATTTTCATTACATTATTGTTTTAAATATTCCTTTTAAGTCCCACAGTGCTGAGAACCCTGAACTTTTGGATGAGATTTATAATAGAAAATCTGTTTTACTGATGTTGATAGCTGTGATTTTACACTGTAGCCCTATCTGTGAAAAACCTGCTTTGTTTGCCCTATGCAAATCTGTGAAAGAGAATGGACTAGAACCTCACCTTGTGAAAAAGGTATATGTGGATGAATAGTTTTTATTATAATCTTCCTTGTGTAACTTTTTTTTTTTAGTTATTATTATTATGGACCTAACAGTGTAGATAATCCCCATATTTGATTGTGTCTCTTTCTCACTGTTTCACCTGACTCAGCCT